CAGTCTAGACACAGCCTGGCTACGTCTAGACTAGCATGATTTTACGGAAATGCTTTTAATTGAAAAGTTTTCAGAAAAGAGCATCTAGATTGGCACGGACGCTTTTCCACAAAAGCACTTTTTGCAGAAAAGCGTCCGTGCCAATCTACACACGCTTTTCCGCAAAAAAGCCCCGATCGCCATTTTCACGATCGGGGCTTTTTTGCAGAAAACAAATCTCAGCTGTCTACACTGGCTCTTTTGCGCAAAAGACGGTAGGAAGTTAGTGCTTTTGCGGAAATTCAAATGGCCAGTATAGACAGCTGGCAAGTTTTTCCGGAAAAGAGGCTGATTTTCCAGAAAAACTGGCCAGTCTAGACACAGCCCCTGTGTTTTGACTTTGAGTAAGTTCAAGAAAACTGCATTTCCTTATCAATACATTGCCTTCTAGGAACTGTGGGATTTTTATCCCCATTAGTACCTACAAACTATGCTGTCTGAAAGATTGCATCTCCCATAATGCAATGCAGACTTCACTCTGCTCAAGTTCTGTTTGGAGCTCATGGGAGATCTAGGACAGCCAGGGCATCTACCCCAGAGGAAAGAATGGGGCTGCCAGCATCCTGAAATGCAGCAATGTGCCAAGTAGGAAAATTCAGTTTAATGCCAAATTAATTCAACATAAATCAGGCCAGTCTGACAAACAAAAACTAAACATTTTGATTATGTTAAAATATGTTTTGATCAGGAACAAATCAATATTTCTATACTTTTTATTTATTTATTTCATTCTGCAAATGAGAACAAATCTTGAAACTATCCAATGAGTTTAATGTGCCACCAAGGTCTCCCTCTCTCTCTTTTGCTCTCCATAGAATATTGGATTTTCAGTGTTGTTAATAAAGATCTCCCTCCTTCAACTCTGACTGCTGAATTACTCACTGGTAATAAAACTAAGACTAATATTTTCAAGAGCCACCGCTCACTCCTGGTGTCTTCATTTGCTGAGTGCCCAGTTTCACATATCCAGGAAAGTCAAGTTGGGCACCCAAAAAATGGAGACGCCCAGAATTAGGGGCCACCTTTGAAAGTTTGACTGTAAGTCCATATATAAAATAGAGATAACAATATCTTTAGTGTTACCAACATCACACATTCAACCATCATGAACCAAATCTAACAATATTATGAGATTGTCTTACAAATCGTGATTTTTATAAAAATATCTGGGTTTATTTGTCTTCCGATTTTCATACCTGTAGGGTGCATTTGAGCCACATTTTCAAGCTTTTCTTCAAAATTAGGAGGCTAGAAACATTTTTAATGAAAGTTAAGCTTCTCACATAGTCATAGAACTCCAGTTCTACAGCTTTAAGTAAAACACCAATTTTTGTGAGGTTCACAATAAAATCACAAAAGTTGACAACACCAAGTGCTCTATGAAACTGAAGGAATAACGGTTTTAAAAAGACCATTCTATCCGAGGTTGGGAGGTGGAATCAGTGCAGAATATTATTATATTTTTGTTTTATGTCAAATCCAGCAAGCACAGGTATGTGCGCACTGAACCTTCCAGAATCTCAAAATGTAACTATCCAATCATAAAATATACTATAGATATTTGCCTCTGTTATGCAAGATGGAATTTAATGTACTGCAAGACATGCACGACAACTTAATTTTGTTTTATTTTGATTGTAACACCTGGTATAACTCAGGAAAACCAGTAATGAGATCTGTTTTACCCTTTATTTTTCAAAATCTTGCCAACCTCGGTGGATTATGGATAAGCACTTCAGAGCATATGCACAACATGACCAGGTTACATCACCAAATTTGGTCTGCTGGTTAGATCATTAGCTTTCCCAGTCCAGTCCAGATACTAGCAGGGAGTACAATGTGAATGCTGATCCATGCACCCATGGATAGGCACTCTTGAAATACATCACTGTTCCTTTCAAGTTCATGGTTACAAATGAAATCTCTTCTTTCTAATATAGAAGAAAAGTTCTGTTTTCTTTGTTTCTTTATTAAAAGAAAACCACTCTTGCAAAGTAGTGGGGGCAGATCCTCGTGTAAATCAGGCTTGCTGTCATCTTGCCCCCTAGTCATTTTAACCAGTTCTAGAGAACAATTTAGTGCTTTTCAGAGGCATTTGGCATCTTTGAAATACTCTCTTATAGAACTAGACTAGATGTGACATTTGCTAGAGAAGAAACTCTGCATAAATCTGTCTAAAAGAACTCACTTAATCATATTACTTCACTAACAGTGGTAACCTTTAGAGGCCAAAGTCCAGACAGGCTGAGAAATGGAACATGAGGACATAAAGGTGACAGTTCCATTAACTGCAATCAAAGAGGAAGGTCAAAGGTGGCATAGAGATAAATGACTTAGTCTAGAAGGAAAAGGAAAAATGAAAACTCCCTAGTGTGCCTGAGGAAAAGTTGGGGATTAAAGGTCCAATCCTGAAATCAGAACTAAAAATCCCACTACGTATGTGTAAAATCACACCATGGCTGTGTCTACACTGGGCCACTTATTCCGGAAAATCAGCCGCTTTTCCGGAATAAGCTGCGAGCTGTCTACACTGGCCCTTGAATTTCCGGAAAAGCAACGATGCTCTACTGTACAAAATCAGCCGCTATTCCGGAAAAACTATTCTGCTCCCACTCGGGCATAAGTCCTTATTCTGGAACACTGTTCCGGAAAAGGGCCAGTGTAGACAGCCCAGTAGTCTTTTCTGGAAAAAAGCCCCGATCGCGAAAATGACACTTGGGGCTCTTTTCCGGAAAAGCGCATCTACATTGGCTACGGACACTTTTCCAGAAAGGGGCTTTTCCGGAAAAGCAGCCTGCCAATGTAGACGCTCCTTTTCCGGAAAAACTTAAAACGGAATACTATTCCGTTTTAAGCAGTTCCGGAAATTCATGCCAGTGTAGATGTAGCCCATTAGTGCTGCAGTTCATTGTCAGTGGAGACTACCATTGCAAGACTACATATGTGCATACAGATTTATTTATGTATCAGTAATAAAATCATCTGCAGACTGGCTGAGCAAAATTGCCCACAGAAGCGCCGATGGAAAGGCTGATTAGGGGGACCCACCTCAAGAGTAAATGGGAGCTTCATTGGAGGGACTGCTTGCAGGATCTGACCCTTTATCACAAACAAATCCCTTGAAAAATTATCAACATTTAGGCATATAGGCAGGAACTACACCTTCTAACTAACCAGCCACTCAAGTCCACAATTCTCCAATGCAGGCACTAGGCAAGATCATGCAATCTGACCAGACTGTACTCACTGCAAGACCAAAGGATAGGTGGGGATGTGCATGGAGGCTTTCAGACACTTTTATGGCCCAGTGGCAGGCTTCACTCTAGGGCCAGCAAGTCAAGTGGTCAGGCTACATCCAGACAGTCTCTCCAAGTCGTGGGCCAGCTCTTTAGGGCATTTCAGTGGACCTGGACGCCAACGCCCTATTTATCACTTCCACGTTGGAGTCTTCCTGGATCGCTGTGCCTGGGGAGGGGAGGGAGAGGGAGTAGGGAGACCTGAGCCCTTCTCTGCACTGGGTCCTGGCCCAGGGCCAAGGGGGGAGACGCAAAATGTGGCTCAGACCCCTTTGGTTGCTATTCCAGATCAGCCTTCCCTAGGCCTCTTTCTAACTTCCCTGTTTCCCTTCAGTTTGGGGATGTTGCCCCAGCCTCCTGGAACAGGCTCAATAATTTAGAGCCCTACATGAAAGGAGGGAAGGGGCATCTGCTAAGTGGGTCAGCCCTCCACTCTTCTAGACAAGTCCTGCTCACAATCCTGGTCTTCTCCCCCTCGATTGTTCTGCTTCAGCAGCTACTGCCAGCCTGCCTTCCTGCTGCCAGTGCCCCTGTAGTAAAAACTAAACGTGCTTCTTCCCCTCCATTGCTTAAGCTCGAAACAGCACGTATCATTTAGCTGATTGCGCATGTCTTAGAAGCTGCTAAACTTTCTGCCAGGGAACTGAGTAAACTTGCAGTGACCAATCACGTTGCGACACGCTGACCAGAAAGAATGTGAAATCTATAAAAGTTTCAGCTCAGGCGATGCTCAAGGTCGACCTTGCTTTGAGCACTGAGCTCCTCGGCCGAACTTGTTTGCAAACAATAAAATAGAGTTGGACCCAGCCTGAAAGT